TTTTCACGTCACCTCATGCTCCAACTCTTAGGAATGGGAGGAGGGAATAGGGTGAGCATTTCTGACCCTTAGAGTACAGCTCAAAAATGGCTCTCTGGTTTGAGGAAACCTCTAGATTGAGAGCAAAAACCTTCTCTCCTGTTCCGCCTTGCCATGGTGGAATGTTTCAGATGACTGTAGGCACGTTTGCAAAGGACTAAGGCTGAGAAAGTGGTTCAGGGGTCACAACACATACATAACTTGATTGTTATTTCAATAGTGAAATCTACATGAATCATCAGAGAAACACCCTCAAGCAAATGGAAATTCCATTGTCACGTCGTGACTTAAAAATAAATATCAGTGATTCCCAAATCAGGGGCTGTAAAAGGGTTTGTAAAATAACACTAATCACACGCAGAGGAAAATTAGAAAACAGCTCTCTATTTTAGAACAGAGTTTCTGCATGTTTTATGAAGGTAAATTTAAGACATTTTAAAGACCTTTATCAGACTAAATAAAGAAAATTTAAGGAACAAATTGAAGGGAACACAAATCTTCCTCAATAATAGTTTTGCTTTGAAAATGTCTTAAATCAAGGTACATTTACCTGAGGAGCAAAATGACACAAGTTGTCTGGTTTTCTAAAATACTTTTCAAAATGAAGTAGATTTATTTTTAAAACAAGAACAAATGCCATGTGCTCAGAACTTAATTCAACTTACTTTAACAGGAAAACATGTTTTCACAACCCATTTTTGTTTTAACCATAAACTCACAGAATATTGTTCAGTTTCTCAGAAAACAAGATTTTGTATCTTTTTGCATCTCACGTGTTTAGATATTTGTACTGGAAAACAACACAAAATAGAAAGGAAGATATATTTTTTTGCTGTGAATGCAACATTTAATGCCATGAAATATTGCATTTAAGACTTTCCGCACCTAATAAGACATTTTTAAGGCCTTAATGTGTGGAAACACGAATTAAGACTTTTTAAAGACCTTTTTAAGACACGCCGAAACCCTGAAGGAATTTTTCATTCTTTAAACATAAATACTTGCCCAAATATATTATTTTTCCTATTTGTGAAGTGAAGTGACGTAACATGTGGCCAAGCATGGTGACCCATACTCGGAATTAGTGCTCTGCATTTATCCCATCCAAAGTGCACACACACAGCAGTGAACACACACACACCGTGAACACACACCTGGAGCAGTGGGCAGCCATTTTTTTGCTGCGGCGCCCGGGGAGCAGTTGGGGGTTCGGTGCCTTGCTCAAGGGCACCTCAGTCATGGTATTGAAGGTGCGAGAGAGCGCTGTACATTCACTCCCTCCACCTACAATCCCTGTTGGTACGAGACTCGAACCCGCAACCTTTGGGTTACGAGTCCGACTCTCTAACCATTAGGCCACGACTTCCCACATACGTAATTTGCACATACATATTAACTTCCACATTATATGATAAAACATAGAAAGTCAAATACTTCCTTATAAAAAAAAAAAACCTTTTAAATTTACTGTACATTTGATACAGCTTCTAAAAGCATCATCTATCAAGAAGGAGACTCCATAATGACAGTACGACATTATTGCCAAAGCATGTGAGCTAACAACCATCAGCCAACAGACAAAATTATTGAGTATAATCTTTAAGTGGGCCAAACAGTCCCAACACTGTCCAGACGCCGTCATTCACGGCAGTACCTGAAAACCCATCTCCTCCCCTGTTACTCAAAAGCTTAATTCACAGATAATGATCACTTGTGCCAAAACAATAACAAATGATTCTTCCCCAAAAGAGAAAATCCTGCATGATACTACGAAGTTGTTAAAAGCCTGGATCATTGATGAATCAATCAGGATCATCAGTGTTTATACTCATCTGGGGTATTACCTCATTGCAGTTACTGGAGGGTCCAACACAAACAAATGGCCTTTACAATTTGGGAGGTAAACAGTTCTGCACTGTTTACATTAAAGTGATCAATCCGTGTTGTGCAGCAAGTGAAACAGACATCACAGACCTCCATGTCTCACCCATTCATCTAGTGATTAAGATCGTAAAGTTTTCAGGACACATTCCTTTCAAATTACTGAAGGCTGCCATCGCATCTTAAAGGTAACTTAAGCTGCTGTGAGCAAAATCTACAAATGCTCTAGGATCATGCAAATTCATGCATGTAAGGCATTAAGAGCATATAGCATGCATATTTATATGAGCCTTGCCATCTACAAAACAAATTGCTTGACTAGTTCACAATAGCTTTGAATGCTAAAATATTCATGAATATACATTAAATAACACTATTTATGTGTTATGTATATGAGGATTTATAAACCTCAAGGATCTTGTGATCTATGTGTAGCCTATGTATTTGTGTGTATACAAAGACTTCCTGTCCAGGTTTTGTACAGACATGTTGCAGTTAATCTCACATATAACTATGAATAACCCAATATTGTGTGCAGATGATTGAAATTCATATCTTTCAGACATTTAAAAAAAAAAAAACATGAAATTCCCACTGTGCTGTCCTTTAAGCAGAAAATATAGTGCTGCTTTTTGCTCTGCAGGTAGCTGTACTGAAACAACTGGCCCGGACACCACTATTGTTTAATTTAATAGAGAGATAATAAGGGAAAAAACGGAGAGGCTTTCAAAGGTCCTAATGAAACTGTAACATACTGGTTATTTAAATAATGCATTTTGTTTCATTCTGTGTTGTCTTTAACATGTGCTACAATTAATCCATGTAATGTTGAGTCCATCCATCCATATCTTATGGTGAGTCACAAATTGCCACGATTTTATTATTATTTTAAAATAGCAACATTTCCACTTTGAAATTAATCAAGGATGATCACACAGTGATAATGTATTGTCACTAAAAGTATTACACTGCATCCCTCACTGCTCATGTCCTCACTTTATACAAATTAAAATAAGCTATATATGTTATATGTAAGAAAACTGAAATAAAATTCTCTAATAGAAACATTAATACTATGTTCTGACTAAGAGAAGACACACAAAAAAAGAAAACAAATCCTCCTTTTACAAGATTTCACAGCTGCACGTGTCAACACTGGATATTAATGAACAGTGTTGGGGGTAACTCATTACAAGTAACGCGCGTTTTGTAATCGGATTACTTTTTTCAAGTAACTAGTAAAGTAACGCATTACTTTTTAATTTACAAGAGAATATCGGAGTTACTTTTTTTTTTTTTTAATTCCAATAAATTCAATTTATTGATTGACAGCTCTCCTGTCCCAATGTTGAGAGAAATCAGAAGATGTCACTGTAGTTCTAAAATAAATATGAATATGCACTAATTCATCTCACTCACAAAAAAAACACAGATTCAGTATTCCTCAAAATGAATAAAAATAATGCAACTCAGAATATGACGCAAACCTGCAATAATTAAATCTTAAACAACACAAATATCCTTTATGTATTTAATCCGATTCTCTTAACCAATGTCTTTGCTTCTGACCTTTGATGATCCAGTTCAACCATACTAATAAGCACAAATTACTCTAGACAAACATTTGTGTGTCTTTTTATTGAATACATTTAATATGAAAGTCAGTCTTCATCCTGAAGGTCCTCTTTCCAAAAATAACTGTATAGTTGTATATTTTAAGTTTAGTTGCTTTCTTGTCCCAGGAGTCAGTGAGAACTTCCAACAATAATGCAACTGTCTGTGTGATAGACAGACGCGTTCACGCTCGTGCGCGAGGATGAGCAAAACCCCAGCGCTACCTGAGGACCTCTACGCATTCTAGATAGACAGCTTCTCTTCCAGTCATAAATTATTTGTTTTCCACCCAGTTGTATATATGTTTCCTCGTGCGTAAAATGCTTACGGAGGCTGTATTTGGTCCCTTTACATGACGCTCTTTTCTCTGATTGTTTTTTTTATAGAAAAACATAGAGCCTCAAACATGTTTGCTATTAAAAGTTACTTACATTTTTTATTTGGGGTTTAAAGTAAAAGATATTTTGGTGGTATCTGTGGAAAATATTTGTATTAGCTATATTTTATCAGTCGCAAAATCCTTTGTTAATTATAACAAATAAGCAATGAAGAGATTTTGCTAACGTTTGTAGCCAAAATAAAAGTCCAACGGTGTAACCAAAACGCAAGAGGCCATTTCTGTGAAAAAAACCTTAAAATATTGTTTGTCAAGGGCACCAAGTTTACAAAAAAATAATAAAATATTTATTGGCTACATAGGACCTTATATGTATGTATGTTATGTATACTGTATGTATTTATTTATTAATTTATAACCTTTTTTTGTTGAAAATTTACGTTTTGTCAAAGTCAAATGGAGAAACCAACCTCTTGGTATTAATAAAAAAAAAAATGTATGATAGATTTGTAAATCACCTTGGAAAATATGTGAAAGCTTGTTTTAAAAAATATAGGCAATGTGAAAGGAAAGTATTTCGTACTTTCTACTTCATCATGGTTACACCACTTGACATTAAATGTGTTTTTCTGGAGCTATACTGATACAGTATAAACGTTTTTTTTTAAATGGCAAACATTCAAAACATACAAGTCTTACGTTTCTAAGAACTTGCCACGTGTTTTAAACTAGATTCCTAAAATATGTCTCCGTTTGATCACCTCGAACATCATTAATTGTCACTGACCCATGTATTAAAGTATAAATAAATAACGGCACATTCCTCTCCTTGGTCAAAGACGCGCTGTTTGGAGCTATATCTCCAATGATATACAGATCTCAGGACGGTTTGAATGTTTCGTCCGATATAAATTGAGGATGAGAGAGAGCGTCCTGCACATCTCAGGCACGCATCAAGCAGTGAGATCATTTGTGGTATAAATATCTCTTTGCCAGCAGATCTGCTCCAGCTCCTGCAGCAGCCGAGGGTAATGCCCACTAGTGAAACAGCGAGTTACCTCAGAGCGCTTGAACAGCAGCAAAATGCTGGAAGTGGCCTAGCACGCTCACAGACAGCTCTCTGGAAAGAATGAACGTTCCTCTCCTGCTTTTACTCCTCTTTCAGTTGCCTCGCTCTGCAGTGCCTACGGGATCTGAACGCGCGTATTTGGAGCACCAACTTGTCGAGGAAGGGCGCGTATCAGGGCGCAGGACTGGAAGACTGTACTGTAGAGTTGGAATAGGTTTCCACCTTCAGATTCACCCCGATGGAAGAGTCAACGGGAGTCACGAACCTAATCCGTTAAGTAAGTTGTCATTTCCCAATCTTTACGGACATGTGGAGAGCTAAAGTTCAAAGTAGTGACTGATTGATCCTTTTTTCATACTAAGTATGCCTGCACAGTGTTCGATTAGAATTTGCCGATAGAAATAAACTTACCAATACTCAGTACGAATGAAATTGTGCTAATTTACATCCGAAATGAAGATACATTATTAAAATGACCAAATAGAATCTAAAAAAATGCTTTAATGCATGCATGTTTAAACAGTTTTGCATAATAGAGAAAGTCCTTCCAAGTCACAGACAGAATTTTATTGATAGGCTGTGCAAAAACACTTACTGGCTCAAGTAACTGTTATTGCAGATTGATCTGACTGAATGAATGATAAACTAGTGCTTCCTCTGGTTGGAGTCTCTTGTTTGGAGCGGATGTTTATTTACAGGTATGGGAACAGGTGCAGCGGCTGAGATCAGAATGCCAGTGAGCTGAAAGCTGGAGTGAGTGGCATCATTAACATGCCATGCACTAGATTTCTGTTAATGGTTGAATAGCTGGGTACACATACCATAGTACTAGGTCTATTTAGAGGGTCTACTGTCAAACAGATGATCAAAATTAGATTAAAGTAAAAATGACTTTGAGTTTGGCTGTGGGTGTTAAGTCCATGTGTCAGACAGAATATTTAGAAAGCAAACATCATAGACCTGAAACATCTCTCTGAAAGAATACAGCCTAAACAATCTCATTTTTAATGTCAACTAACAGTAATGACCAATACTGTTAATGCCTTAAATATTAAAAAGATGGATGCTATATCCGAATGCCAGTCAGTTTTTATATTAAGCTATCAACTCTTATGTGTAGTTCACTTACGTAAAACCACCTCAAAATATATATTATATATATAATTAACAGTGGTAACAAACAGGCTCTTTAAAATCAATTAAAAAAAAGCTTATTTCTGAACCCTATGGACCCCATCACTACACACACACACTAAATGAAGAGCACCCAAACTTGTAGGACTGGCAAGTCACATTCATTTTTCTGGGTGGATGTTTTTTATGATGTGTGTTTTACAGTATGCTTTGCAGTGGTTTCTCTATTCTTTACTTACTGTACATATACAGTAAAAGGATCTAATATCCTGACTAATATAAAAGAAGACAAAAAGACAGATGAAAAATAGGCTATATACACACAGTCAATGTGTGGTGTTAAATGTATTATTATCAGATGTGACTCAGATTGTACATTATCCTGTACATACAACAGTAGACAGGAGGGGATAGAATAATGTTTAACTGAACTAATCTCTCTTGCTATAGCATTCAATAATACTTGTAACCAAAATAACCAGGGAAAAATAGATTTCATATTGTGTCTTTAAGAATTTAATGTTTTTCTAAACTATTTTCTGTTTAACATCTCCTGCTTTTGACCTGCAAGATATAAAGCTAAAAACACTTGATTTTTTATTTTATATATTCTCTGCTCCCAAGTTTTCCAACCATACAATACCCCTATGTACTGCCATTTTTATAACATGAGAGAGGTTGACATAAGTTATGACATCAACTAATAATGCCTCATGCCATACATATGTCAATGACATGGCAGACAACTTGCACATATTACCTGAACCCACTTTCAAAATTCAGTTGTGATTCTTTGGTTAAAGAATGCAGTCGTCACTCTCTTTTATAATCAAACTAGTGTGTGAACACAGCAATTGTTTGGCCTTTGACACTTAGGACATAAAGCCATCAGTCGTCACTGCAATTGGTGTGTTTTTTCGATCTGTAGGTGTGCTGGAGCTGTTTGCCGTGTCTCAGGGGGTCATAGGGATCCGAGGGGTTTTCAGCAACCGATTTCTAGCCATGAACAAGAGGGGGAGGCTTCATGCGACTGTAAGTCTGACCCAACACAATATAAACTCATACATCCACTACAAAAAAGTGGATGCAAACCAACCCAAAATGCCGAACAAAAACTCCCCATACACACTTTTGAAGGAAATCTCGGCTTACTGTGATATTTGTGTGCCTCTGCGAATTCTCTCTACAAAGACTTGTACAGCACAAAGCAGTGGAGAGACACACTGCAGTTTCAGAGCAATCTGGCTTTGCAGGGGTCTGGGCTGTCTGATAGAAGGCAGAGCTTATTAGCATGTGTTAATGGGAAGAGCAGATTAAAACGAGTCTGGGGTAGTTGATAATCTTGCAAGGAAGGGGATCAATATGTGTGTAAACAAAGTTGGACCGCTTTAAGGGCACTTAGCATGCAAAGAGCAAAAACCGGGACTTATGAAAGCAAAGCAACATTATATGGAATATATATAATCTGCATTCATATAGCTTTAAAATGAGAATTGTTTAACTCTCCCATAATAGCAACTGTCTTTTTTCCCATCCCCCCCCCCAAAAAAAGGATCGGTCTAGGAGACACTACACAATCTATCATATCTATTCAACCAATCTATCATTATCATTATGCAGCTTTCAACTCCATATTACACACACACACACACACACACACACACACACACACATATATATATATATATATATAGAGAGAGAGAGAGAGAGAGAGAGCATAATATATATTTAAAAAAAAAAATTTAAGTCTCACGCTCAACAAAGCTGCATTTATTTTATCCAAAAATACAGTAAAACAGTAATATTGTGAAATATTATTACACTTTTTAAATAACTATTTTCTATTTTGTTATATTTTAATATGTAATTTTCTCCTGTGATGGCAAAGCTGAATTTTCACCAGCCATTACTCAAAACAGAAATCATTATAATAATATTGCATATAATAATATGCTTAATATTTCTGTTGAAAATTTGTTTTTTTTTTCAATATCTTTGATGAATGTAAGTTCAAAAGAACAGTATTTATTTTAAACAGAAAAGTTTGGTAACATTATATATGTCTTTACAGTCACAAAAAAACACTTTACTGCATCCTTGCTGAATAAAAAGTATTATACATATTTATTATATATAAATTGTTCTGTACTTGTGTAGACCCTACTTCACATTAATGTTTTACAATTTTAGAAAACTCTTGTATGGGGCAGATAATAAAGTAGTCTGATAAATCTGAGGATTAGCCTCCGAACTGCTGCAGACATCATCTGTAATTAAAGCAGCTGCAGCGGCTCCGTCAGACTTGAATTGGGTTTCATTTCCTCAGACCAGCTACAGTTGCACAGGCTTATTTAATAGCTGTCAGCTTGGGTTTTAAACCCCAAGCACTTCACTTCGTAGACAAGTCGGCCTAACCAAAGGAGTATCAAATTACTTAACGTCTGATTTTTGTTGCACTGTCTGTCATATTTAATATTTAGATGTTTTCATAGTGGCAATTTATTGCTGCGATAATGGCAAGGAAGACAGATGTACATTATGCCTTGTGACCTACCCAGCAAGCCATTACCAACATAATCATTGCAAAGCATAAGAGGTCACTGCATTTATTAAGAAAACAATGGAGAGCGGGTGAGAAACCAAGAGGGAAATGGAGATGCAACTGTCTCCCATTCCATGAAACGTGGATTGCTCATGAGCCAGAGATGGCTCAAATGTAACTTTGCTCACATGGTCTAAAGGTAAAGGAAACAACTCTGAATAATATGGCGACACTTACAAATGGGAACAAATCTGCCGTGCCAAGATGTAATTATTCGTATCTGTGTCTGCAATGGTATAATAACTCAACGCTGGTGGTGCAAGGCTGAACAGTGGAGGTACCACAGTATGGGAAATCTTGAGAAAGGATTGTTTGTGGATAATATTCACAAAGAAAGCTGTCAGAGAACAGACACAGGTCAAACAGCTGTGCAAGTTCATGACTTAACAATAAAATGTCTACTGCTTGCAGACACCCGAACAGACACATGGGATCTCTTCAAACATGGATCGAAATAACCCCCAAAAAATGTCATAAAAGGATGTATCCTCAACAGCTGGCTGCTGTTTAAAACAGCAGTCATGCACTTCCAGAAGACAGAAACCATGTACCCTAATCAAACAAACGTTCAGATGTTTTTGGGGCAAATTACCACATTTAGGGGAGAGAGCCCCTGTGAAGTTATGGTGGGTCAAGTTGTGACTGGCATGTTTAGAAAATATTGTAATGGCACCATTTTCTGCTTTGCTGCACTCTTCAGCAAACCAGAACCGTTTTATTATTTCAGAGTTTGGGAATTATGCAAGACCTCTTACTTGGACTGACCCTCATTAAAATCATGATATAGTTTCCCACTAGATGTATTTTTAGAGAGTGAGGCCAAAAATCTTAATAATGTTAGTTGTGTACAGTTGTTAATATAAGCTGCTGTTTACAAACTACTAACAGTGCTCCCAAAAAGTATTTGCACACATTCATTAAAAGTCACATTCGACAGAGAGCCAGAGAAGAAACAATAACAGACCAGTGATGAAGTAGTCTTATCTAAGTTTGCTTCATGCTTGCTATCTAGTGTTGATTTGACCAAATTCATCTAATTGAATGATCTGAGCTTCAGATATTTAAAACATGAGCAAGATCTAATGGATGTCTGGTCTTGTCAGTATGGCTGCATTTCTGAAAGCCTACCTAAGGAGAGAGGCTTGCACATAACCATAGATTGCATGCATACAGACAAGCATGTATCCTGCTTTCCTGTGCCCTGGAAGGATAAAGTTGTTTCATAGTCTAATGAGTTTTCAGCCCACACAAACGAAGCTCTGCTTCTGTCAGTCACCCCAGTCTTTGATTGGAAAGTCGGTTTTGATGACTTTGAGCTAGGAGATAAAAGTAAGACTTGCAATTATTCTGAAACCCCCTCAATGCTTCATTCTGGGGCTTGTCTATAATCTGCTTGGTGCTTTTCATTAGCTCTCTTTATGAGGGGCTAACTCAATCAGGCCACAAAGTGTTCTCTCTCCAGCAGCTGCTAATGTGGCATCCAACAAAGTGTGTGCACAGTAATTACTTATTGTGTGCCCAAAGTGTTAAAGCTCTATTGATGTGCTGTGGCACTGTCTATTGCTGAGGTAAAATTGAAGCACAATACAAAAGCCGATCACTTCCATATATAGTTCTGCTCATAAGTGTACATACCCTTTGCAGAATTTGTCCTTTTTTTTTTTTAAATGCCGACTTTTTTAAAATTTAGTACTACCTTGATGAAGCTACATAAATTACGATTCAAATTGTGCATTAGTACATGGTCCTATAACTTCTTTAATTTCCCAGCATTCTCTGCACACATGTTTTTTTCCTCAATGTCTAGTACATATATGTTGATGACATCCAGCTTTGCCACTGAGGTAATTTTATTTATATTTTATATTTTCAATTTTAGAATTTTTTTTTTTTTTTTTTTAAATACATTTGTAAAAGATTATATTAAAATATAACATTCTTGTGGAACACTCTTGTGCAGCATCTTTGGGACAGTACTAAAATATGATTTTTGAAAGATTTTACCTATTATTTTTTTTTATTTCAGTTGGATCTGTACTGTATATTTAATACAGTATTTTTCCTGTATTGTACTTTCAATACCATTATCACCATCATTATCCTTGCAATACAGAAAATGAAAGCTCATAGACATTCATTACGCTTTTTCTATTCCTCAGTCTATAAAATGATCGCATAACTTACGATGAAAATCGAGCTGGAAAAGAACTACATGTCTGGTACACTGATCATGTCCTCTGGTGTTGTGTGATATCTACTATAATACAAACTGCTACTCTGAATAAAGAAGAATTATTTAATTCCATGGTGAAGTATGCAACAATGGTCTATTTATTTTATTTGTAGGCTCACAGTAACAAACTTGCTGAATAGCTTGCAGAAAAAAAGCTTATGGCGATTACATTTATACTAGAAATAGTAAAAGTTATTATCTCATTTGAAAGTAAGATGTACAAATAGTACAAGAAACCATACACTAAATAAACACCATTGCAGCTGGACTCCGGCTGAAGTACAAACAAAGATCATCAGAGGGATCTAGTATCATTCACAGGCTGTGTTGAAAGCCAAGATTCAAGACATATTAACATGACCATTAACATGCACAGGCTGAACAACTTGTTGATTGTCTATCTTTGTAACTTTTCATTCCCCCTTTTCCTGTCCTTTTCCCCAGGAGAGCTTTACAGATGACTGTAAGTTCAGGGAGCGGTTTCAGGAGAACAGTTACAACACGTACGCCTCAGTGATCCACAAGAACCATCGCACTGGTAGAGAGTGGTTTGTGGCACTTAACAAGAGAGGTAAAGCAAAAATGGGGTCCAGTCCGAGAGTGAAGTCACAACACGTGTCTACACATTTTCTGCCGAGGATGAACTTGCATGAAAAGACTGAACAAGGATTCACAATAACAGACAAAGAGAAGGAAAAACAACCACCTCCACATCCACCAACACCTTCTATAACGAAAGTCGCAGCCAACACCGGAAAGAAGAATCGACCAGTAGTCAAATACTGGCCCAAGTTTCGATTCGGATAAACCAGTGCTGTCTTAAACATGGACTAATCTTGCAAAAAAGACAAGCTGGGAAAAATATGGTTTGCTGAAACAACCAGTTTTCTCTTCAGGATAATCAATACTTGCTTAACTTAAATGACTTGAGCATTCCGGTCATCACGTACATTAAGGGCTGAATCAGCCAATCACAAGACCTTTTCAGGACGGAACTTCTAATTTCATGAGGATCTTCTGAAAATCCTATATATTTGAACTAAAGTCGCTTTACAAGAGGATTTGCATTATTATCCTCAGTGATTTTACAAAATATAACTACATTTTTATATTATACCTCACTGTATTTATACAATATATTTATGTCTCTACAAGCTTTTTTGCACAAACAGTTATCCAGCTCCCAAAATTATAATGTTTGAGATGGTAATATGCAAATATTTTTTTTTAAAGGTGAACAACAGTACAGGAAAAAGAAGGCATATGAATTTGAATGCTTCTGGGCTGAATAATGCACATGGATTGCTTATTTGCATGAAAAGTCTATATTTCTTCTACTAGATGTCTGTCCATCAAAACTATCAGGCTAGATGCTGACTGTCATGGAAATTAAAATCCTGTCATGACCCCAGTTCATTCCACAGAAGAGCAATGTCTCACAAGGATAAACATGTCTTGTGGGACTGCTCTGTGTTTTTTATGAGCTCTGCTCATAGGTGTATCAAATGGCAGACAGTCGTGGTATGACTCTTCACAAAATATCCCTATAACTGTCAAGCAGGGCACACTGAAACGGTGTGGAAATCATCTTTAGTGTTTACAGGTGATTGCAACCATAATCCATTTCCAAACTTTTCACAACAATTCATTTCTAATAAACATTTCACTGTAATGAAATTAAAAACATCCTGTGTATAATTCCTAAAATTATTCTGAGGCTATTGTCTGTTTTACAAACTACCACGAATGTTGTGCTTTTGTATTTAGAATGGGAATATATTAGGATACAACAGAAATCCTTAAAAGATCATAAAGGTTTAATCACAACTATTATTGCACACTTTGTTAATTCTGCATTAGATTCTCCTGGAATCATCAATGTGGCCAAAATCCATATTGTGCATGCATGGTGGTGGTAGTGGATATCTATGTCTGAAGACTTGCCCATTGCAATTGACATAACAGCTGGCTTGTGCCATTACCCTGTTGGGCTGGTCCAAGGGGTAAAGTCAGGGTTTGGTGGAGGTCAGACATTCCACCGGAAAATGGTTTACAACAGTGTCTCATCAAACAGGTTGAAATACAGGGGTCAAGACATCCACATCAAATGATGTCTGCATAAACCGTAATGCTGAACAGTGCTCTGGCTCTAAAGGTTTCTTCATACTACTTGGCTATATGCCAAGACATACATCCATAGCCAGGACTATGACTTTTGTCTGGGAATACAATCTTTGCCATTCAAATTCCTTACAGCCAAAATCAATTTTAGCAAGTTTTGATAGGAATAAGAATGATGGCAAAATGCATAGAACTTCGAGAACATTTGAGAACGGTTTAATAAAAGTTTAAAGAGCTGTGCCACCTAGTGGTTATGAATGAATAATTAGACCACAGGTACATTTTGGTCTGACTTAGCAAAACATTAAGGATACCTGTTTGCCATGTTCTCAATATTTTTAAACGAGACAACAAATAACACCACAAAACTGTAGTTCAGTCCAGATAAATGAATTCCCACTAAATCCAGTAATGTGTAATGCAGAGAAGATCCACAAAACCTTAAACAACCCCAATTTTTAAAGCAGTCAAAATCTATAAAAAATTAGCTTATTGCTAATTTCATGTTACACATTTGGGGGGGAACAATACCCCCAAAATATTATTAAAGGACAAAGGAAAACGCGCTTCAGCCAAAATAAATAAATCAATCAAAATGAAATAGATTACATAAAGGAACTCTTAAAATATGAATAATTAATGTTTGCTGTTAAAAATGAATCAGTCGCATTGTCTTTTATTCTGACATAACAATGACGCAAGATTATTTTAAATTTGCATAAAAAAAATCTTAAAGCTTTCATTTAGAATCTGTACCAAAATATGATGCAGTTTCTCAAAATTATATTACATTATATTATAAAGCCATGGAAGCTTAGACTGCAAGAAATCATTAATTACACAGAGTAGGTCTTTGTTAGTAGGCTAGGCTACCAGAAGACAAGTGCTAGACCACATGATTCAACAAGGAAATCACATAAGCATACATTCGCCTGCCACTTGTAATGCTTTCACACGAATTATTTTTAAAACAGCTTTTGGATGCATACCATCAACCTTCCTGCTACTCCTATCATAGCAGAATTAGTACCCTGGACCTGGTATTGCTTGTAATATTAATATCTGAAATAATACCTATTTTGTAGAGCATTGCAGACAGACAAACTTACACTGATGTTGTCGGTTGAGATCGTTTTCCCGCAAAAAGCGATTGTTTGTATGGGCGGGGCTTACGAATTTATATTGGTTAATGATTGGTTTACAACCGGAAAACACGATAACTGCTACTATCCTACTTACAGCTATCTGTTACCATGGGAATAACTCAAAGTAAACAAGATGGAAGACAACAGCGGCGTCTTTGCGGGAGAAACCGTGGAAGAGTTTCGCACTTATGAGGACTTCTTAGATTCTCAGATAAAACCTCTGGATTTATTTTACCTTGAGGTGAAGTATTAAAATTCACGCTGTAAGTTAAACCGTCTGTGTCATGTGACGTTGTGAATCTCACGCACACTGTGAGAACAGATGCATCAAGAAAGCGATTTCTTTTGTTTCATTGCTAAATCAGCATTTTATTAGTCAATGTGAATAGTCTGGCAGTTACGCTTGTGCAGACATTACGATAGCCTATGCAGACAGATGGAGTAGCAAAGCCATTTCTAAGTATGGCCTGTGAAAGTGTACGTTTGCAGTTTAACGTTAGATGGCGACATGGTACTTCGTTCCTGCATGCTTCTATAAACTGCAACGTTTTCTCATCATAATGTACAATGGTAAGTCTTATTAGTATAATGTTGTCATTTAACTAAGTCTGATGCAGTCGGTTTATACAAGATTTAAGTCAACATTCAATGACAACATCAGGCAGTACAGTGTCCCTTTTAGCCCAGTTTTAGAAATTTGGATGTAATTAATCAAATAATGAAATTGTGTAATATTGACTGTGTTAGTTTGGCTAATGAGTGAGGTAAAGTCATGGTATACTGTACATATTTTACACTTAATGTAAGAGCCTTGGAAACTGTAAGAGGCTTTACCTGTATGGGCTTAAAAATTCCCCATCTGATTTACTTGGGATTTGTTAAAGTGCATGGAAGAAAATAATTCAAACTTGAGTTGTAGGAATTGTCTGTAGCAGTCTATAAATGTCAATGTGTGGTTTCTTTAGCAATGAGGAATATATTCGGAGACATTCTGATTTAGTTTCATATGTGGGGGCTTATTTCTGGTTACAGGAATGAATGAGCGTGTCTTAAGTTATAAGGTGTTGTGTGACTTGAGTGGTTTCACATTCAGTCATTTACACAGTGTCTGGAGTTGTTGGTAATACAATCAACTATATGGTCTTTAGGTCGTAAGTGTAATTAATAAGTAGTACAAAAAAAAATCTAACTTTAAAAAAAAAAAAAATTAATACTTTTATTCAGCAAAGATGCATTAAATTGATCCAATGTGACAGTTTATAATGATCATAGATATTTATAATGTTAAAAAGATTTCTGTTTCAAATAATTCTTTTAAACTTTCAAATCTTCTGAGAATCCTGAAAACAAAAATTACACAAAAATATTTAGCAGCACAGCTGTTTACAACATTGATCAAAAAAATTATAAATAAATCTTAGTTTCTGAAGGATTGTGCGACACTGAAGACTGGAGTAATTTCTGCTGGAAATTCTGCTTTGCCGTCACAGGAACAATGAAAAATCTTTAATATTTCTTTTAAATTGTAATTTAGGCTCAGATTTGTTGATGATGTGTTAGAAAATATATTTCGGTAACATTAACATGGTTTCAGTGTCTACCTTACAGAGAATTTTTTTTTTTTACCTATTTTTATTTGACATTTATACTTTTCACTGTTTGACTTTTATTGTATTTATATTAAGATTGAGTTTAACCCTTCACAAATGGATCTTGCCGTTTTTTGTGTTTTTTTTTTCCTCAGCAGCAGCTCTCTACAAACTCAATGCCCTGTAGCCACATGAAAGCAGCTCCTCCTTTTAAGGGCATAAGGAATCTCACTAAATCATATGGAAATGATACTACCCACTTTTAACTAGGCTGCAGTGACATGTGGCAAAAATCCTTGATCCTGGCAACCATGAAAATATCAGTGCAGCTCATGTAATTTTGTCATATAAATAGCATGTATACTAAAATAGGATTGATATAAATAGCACTTGAGCACAAAACTAGCACAAATGGGTCATAAATACACTGGCCTGTTTGTACAGAAATGCCACAGCAGATTGTCGAACTGCATGATTTTTTCATATTATTCAGTCAGTTTAACCACCCCCAGCTCAGCAGATCTGTGTTATTGCTCCTCCAGGATCAGGAACTGGCCCGCCAGCTGGTGGAGCTGGGCCACAAGGCTAGCAGTTTGGAGAGGGAGGAATTTGAGACAAGGAAAGCAGCTGCCGAGGCCTTCAGGCTTGCTTCAGGGAGCCAACAGAAGTAAGGTTTTTGTGTTGTGACCATGAAAAGGGGACAAATTTCACACCAGTATGTGACCTTGAGAACATGTATTTTCCAGTAAATGCTTTAGGCTTCATTCACGAAACACGAGCAGAATGAATTTCTGTGCAAATTGTTTGTTAAACCGCTCTGACGTAAATTGTCACATTCAATTTAATGTCGCAATCTACGTATGAATGTTTTATGAAGAGTTTATACTGTGATTCATTCTGCTTATGTTTCATGAATGAGGCTCAATGGCTTTAAAGAATGGATTAATTATTTATGCACATTCACTGTAAATATCAAAAACATCAAATGACAGTAAGATGGTAGCAAATAAACTTAGATTATAGGATCTAAATGTCCAAGGACACAACAGGCTCTTTTTAGAGCAACGTTGGCTCAAACCACTAAGGACTTTCCGGTGACGTTAATGCTCTTTATAGATGCACCTGACAGCTCATGTGTTTCTTCATCCCTTCACTGTGAGAGAGGCAAAAGCTTTGTTTGTGGGAATTTTTGGGATGCTGTAAACTTGGACGAGGATTGCATAGTTGCTGTGGTGAGGCTTCAGGAAACATTTTTGGAGAACTATATTTGTGTTTTCTTGGGCTGCTTGTGGCAGCTCCCCTGCCTAACTACCTGCAGACGTGTCTTTGTGGCGTTCAGTGCTTGTCAAAATGCACAGAAGTTCTGGGTCTCAGTTTAAGTAAAATAATATTAAATGAAAGAAAAGAAAAAAAAGAGTCTATTTCCGTTTAAATTGCAGTTAAATAAGAAAACAATTCTTTAGGCATATAATTTGATACAGCCTTTTGAAAGGCCATTGTGTTTACTTCAAGCCAATAAACTCCTTGATAGTGCTCCTAGTGTGTCCTTCTTAAAGGGGTCATATGATGTTGCTAAAAATAACATTATTTTGTGTATTTGGTGTAATGAAATGTGTTTGTGCGGTTTAAGTTTTAAAAAAACATTATTTTCCACATACTGTATATTATTGTTTCTCCTCTATGCCCCACCTTTCTGAAATGCGTCGATTTTTACAAAGCTCATCAGTCTGAAAAGCGAGGTGTAAGCTGATTTGCCAGCTATCCAGTGCGTTGTGATTGGCCGAATACCTCAAGCGTGTGATGGAAATGTTACACCCCTTACCATATTGTGATGCCGTGTCCCGGAGCGACTAGACAAAAACATTAAAACCCATTATAAACGAGGCATTCGTTGCATCCAGTGGGGACATTATTACGAATTATAATGACTTATACTGTCTTTTTACGCGTTGCGTTGCATCGTGCTGCGTAAACATAAAACCATGTCTGCATTTGTGATCGGAGAAATGACAAACAACAAGCGCTACTCTACACTGCTCAAAACTCGCGTTTGAATCATAAGTGGCAAATTCTTTAAATATGAAAACGTACTTACAGTCTGTGAGTCAGAACAGCCGGCATTGTAGTCTACTCTCCCAGGATCAGGAAACAGTCCTCTATAAAATGCGCTGCACACATCTGAATATTTGGGTTGAACTGTTCTGGAACAGTGTTGTAAATGCAACTTAAACACTGGTTTCTAGTCATGTCCTCTTTTGGAAGACCAAATAAAGTAGTTTCGCTTTCGCAATGAAACACAGTGTCTTCACAACATGGCGGCGTGACGTAGACATGTGGGGGCGTGTTTAAACGAGGCGTTTTAGGAGGGCGTGGACCAGTCTTAACTTTTATAAAGAACATCTCTTTGGGTTTGAGACTTTAGTCTTTGCAACTTTAGGGATCTTATCTATTCACAAACAGCTTGTAACACTCCAAAGAGAAAGGTAAACTTGAAATCACATCATATGACCCCTTTAAACAAGAAGCTCAAATAGTCAGTAAAGGTCTGTACTGCAGGCCCCAGTTGTTTGGGCTTTCTTAAATCAATAGTTTTCGACATAACATGCAGTATTTGACCATTTAAGTGTATTTAGTCATGTTTCCACATAGCAAATAAGTAAACAGTGGCTCTTGGTTACTTACTTAAATTGATGCTAGCAAAGTGTGATCTAAATGTGGTTTTCACATCCACCTTTCTCTCCACAAGAGGGCCCTATCACGTCAATACTGTTCCTAGGTTACCATAGCTATGCACATCTGATGGTTAGTATGCCTATCAAGTCTAGGTTTAGTTGTATGCTGCAAAGTTACTTCACTTAAGCTCTGAACAATCTCCAGTAAAATTCTGTAAAAGACTTAGTCTGGACTGTTATTTAGATACTGTATTGCTATAATTCTTAATCACTAAGCTTGTATGAGTTTCACAATGCATACACAATGGCATCACAATGATTAGTGGAACACAATGCATAGCCTTACTGCCTCTGGAGATTGTGAAGACAAGCAAAACACTTGTAATAAAAGACCAAATGGCATTTTTTTGCATCTTTGAAGGGCATGGTGGGGAGGGGACATGACTTGTGTGGTTAAATGTAAGTGAGCTAAATATAAGGGACCAATATATTCATTAAATAGCATGTTGAACTTTTTGTTCATTCTTAAAGAATGAAAAAAAATTCCTGTACGATTTGGGGGCTTTTATGCTCAACAAGGCTGTATTTATTTGATCAAAATACTGTGAAAACAGTAATATTTTGAACTATTATAATTGAACTCTTTTCTATTTCCTATATTTAAAGTGTAATTTTTTCTTGCAACGATAAAGCTGAATTTTCAGCAGCCATTACTCCATTCTTCATTGTCACTTCAGAAATTCTTCTGCTGATTTGGTGCTCAAAAGCATTTCTATTAGTGTTGTAGACATTTGTGCTGCTTAATATTTTAAACTGGGATAATTTAAAGATCCCTAGATAAGTAAAAAGTTCAAAAGAACATCATGTATTTGAAATAGAAATAATTTGTAACATCATAAATGTCTTCACTAACACTTTTGATCAATCTAATGCATGCTTAATAAGTAAAAGTATTAATTTCTTTAAAAAAACAAACAAACAAACAAAAAAAACCTTACTGAGCCCAAACCTTGGATGGGTAGTGAAGCAGACAGTAAAAATCTTTAAAGTTTAAAATCTTTGATTGCTTTACAATTACCTTCAACTCAACAAAACAAACATTAAATCTCTCCCCTTTAGTGACTCCCTCTTAATTTCCATCTTCCAGTGTGCTCTTTCTCTCTCTCTTCCTTCCTCTCTTTCTCTCTGCCTTTTCAGGCCTGCCTGCAGGTGTATAAATAGAGATGTTTTCAATTAAGACATGCTTTGCCTGTAGCGTGCATCTGATCATTGAATGCTCCTGCACCTGTGGTAATAAAATACCAGAGGACGAGGGAGACTGTGCTATGAATGCTAATCAGATGTTACCCTTTTGTTGCCACATTATAGGCTAGTCCATAACATGCTTCATTTGACAGATAGGCATTGTTGTATCCTGCCAACAAATCACAATAGAACAAATGAAGGGATTTCGCCTTGAGAAACTCAATACTGGATGCAATGGGAAAAATTTGAATGAAAGAGATGGTTGACTGAAAGATGGCTATTGTGGTGAAAAGGTTCCACAATGACTTATGACTGCATTGAAATAATGGACAACAGTAAATGTAAAACTCTTTTTATTTGATTAAAAGTAGGCGAGGGATTGTCTGAATGCTTGACTCCTTCATCACCATCTCTTTTTCTCTGCATCTGTGACTTCTTCAAGATGAATGTGAATTAAGCAGATGAGTGAAAGCATTACTTTTTTCCACTAATAAATCATGGGTACAGAGAGAATGGGAGCTTGGCTCGGATCTGAGCATATGGATCGTGCAAAAAAAAAAAAAAAACACTGCAGTCGAGTAATTCGTTTCTCCTGTAGTACTGGTGTTTAGCGCCGAGGCTATGTCGAAAACCGGCTCATGCCCTCTCAGCAAGTTTACAATTCACAGTGTCCTCATAAATGCTGCACCACTAGGCCTGAATCAAAAAGCGTAAGGTCACACAGGTTCCGCACATTCTGGTGCGAGTTTCAGAGAGACGAGGGAGCCTGGTGGTTTTACGCAGGCCTGATTTGAGGCCCTGGCAGGAGCCCTGAAACCTGCAGTCTGGCCCAGGCCCAGCAGTAAATGTCAGCAGATGTCCTGACCTCGCGTGCTCATGACAGGTTCTGGAGACTCGAGCTCGAACCCTCCCCCCAAACCCCCAGCACAACCACAGCCATGCTCTTTGTCCATTGTTTGACTCCTTCGAAAAAATGCCACTCTCCACAAATTCACCCCTTTCGAAATTGATGGTTGAAGCCATCTCTCACTAGCCAAGTAAAACCCTGCTGCGAACACAGACTGTACATATGCACGGCTGTGTTAATCCCTCACTCACATAGGCTGAAATAAGACCTTCAGACCTGTTTTTCAGGGCACGGTCAGGAGGATAGCTTGGCCTATGCTGGCTGTCCCACAATGGCCCAGCATATGAGGTGCTAAATGAAGCTATTTGGAAAGTTGCTGCATACGTGTTAGTCACTCAAACACATAATTACACTGCTCTGAAGCCAGCAGCATGTCATTTGAACACTGTAACAATACCTAAACTTTATATATTGAGATTTGCATGAGTCAGCATAAGTGCAGTGATAAACATTCAATTCGAAGAAGGCAGTTGTTTGCCTAGGCGTCATTTTATGTTGGGGATGTCCACACCACTTTTTTCCCATGGTACTAACATTTTGTAATAGTATTTCTTCTGTTGTAAAGGGAAGAATAGCTTGCGGCAGTGATATCTAATACAGAGGCACTGTCAAGCAGATCTCTTTTCTATTCTCTATTCTATTCAGGAGCTTGAATTGATCGATTGTATCCACAAACCACTATGTAAAGACAATGTATGCTTTGATGTAAAAAACTAAATTCAATGTGCTGCAGCTGGTTTTTAAATAATTTTGTTATTTTTTCTAATCATGATGTTAATAACTTGTCCTGTTTTGACTTGAAATGAGTACACTATAAAAGAAAGTCTTGGTTTACCTAGAAGT